ATTATCACTGAAATCATGGTGGAGATTGAGCAACACTCCGAAACAAATGCCATTCCAACTATTATATTGGCTCAGCAATGCCTATAGCGAACATTGGCCGGGTCTTGAGGGACAACTCGGTTCGCCATGCCCATGCCTGACAAAAAGCTCCGTGAGATCCTCCGCAGACTTCTCATTCTTGATGCGCCTAGAGTTGCTTGGCTTGAGGTGTCCAGGTTAAGGCCGGCTTCTAGACAGTGGATACCTATATGTATATATATATATTATACTGTTTAGTTCTGGGTTTTCAATTTTAAGACCAAACCCCAGCCGCTCTGAAACATGTAAGGTTCTATTGCTGGCCATTGTGTTGCTGGTGCACACTGAAGGATTGGAGTGGGCTGAGGCAGTTGTGGGAGTCTGGGGCTGCCGTTCAGGTGATGTCAGCATCCAGCTTTTCACATTGCATATGCACGCATGATATTTATATATATATATACTGTCCACTTGTACTATTTTCCATATGTTCTGTATACACATGATCAAGTCATGCTACGTTTGCCTACAAGTACATATGTATATATATATATGTATGAGTATATACATAAATACCTGCTCAGAAAGCCTGAGAACGATTAATGCAAACACATATGTATATAAAGAATATATATATATACATATATATCATATACACATACATATGTATATATGTGCAACTTAGTACCGAACAGTATTGCGGGCGAGCTGGTCCCCATCTTGACGTCGCAGGTATACGATGCTGTGGAAGTGTTTTGTGGCGTGGCTTCTTTAAGCCGCTGCTTGCAGTTGGGCGGCTACGACACTGCCAGCCTAGACATTGGCCTCTGGAACCCTTGGATGCAAAAGCGCCTATGTTCCAAAAAACGGTTGGGGAAAAAATGCAAAAGGAACCCATTGAACCTTTTGTGTCCAGCTGGGTTTGGGTTTCCTGGCTGTGCTTTTATTTGCAACATTTTCGTAGGTATGGTCCCCGGTGCATGCTATATAGATATGCTCACATGTGATCACCCTTTTTCTGCAAAGTCACGCGTCGTATACAAAAACGTTTTTATCCACGGATCTAAGGCTGCTGTTGTCGGCCATTCTGAATTCCAAAGATGGGGTGGTAGTCGCTTTTGGCTTGGTCTGTTCCACCTTTATAACGATAAGCCGCGGGTCCACCTTTCGACACTACTTCTTGCCAGAAGGGGATCCTCATTCCCTGTCAGTTTCTCAAAGCAATTTGCTGGCAGCAAGGACCAATGGGTTGAAACTATGAATTTATTCACTTAAGACAGAAAAGGGTCATATATATATATGTGTGTTTATATTGAATGCTCAGCCCTGAACTTTGATTTTTTTTCTTGGGTTCGCGCGCCGGCGTTCCCCAAAAGGACCCCAAAATAGGCGCGCGAACCCACTGGAAAAAGCGCAAACCTTTGCTGGGGAGATCACCAACTGAATATTTTAATGGGCACACCAAAAGATTGAATCTGTTCCCTTTTCCCTAGTCCAGTACATGACTAGCTATGCAACCCCTGCAGGACATTTCTCGCCATGCTTGTGGTAATGGCGAAGCAAGGAGTTTGGGTTTTAGAGCAGCCGAGCACAAGCTTGGCATTCCGTCTTCGAGGGTTCCAGAAATTACTTCGAACATGCACTGTTACCAGGCATGAAACAGGATGTATGTAAGTTGTGGCTACGCTATGAAGTTTCCAGCAATTAGAGTTCTAAACAAACGCCATAAACAATTTTTAAAATTGCACAAATCATCACTGAAATGGCAAACCGCCAGAAGGGGGAACATGTTGTAAGTTACTTCCCATTTGCAGTTACCATCCTCCCTTTTTGGGTGATTCTAGGAGATGGGGTCCCAGCCAGTGTTTCTTCGCTGCCTGGCCAAGGTCTTCCGGCAATCATTTTGGATGCGGGGCTTTGGCAGCAAAACGCCAAAGAGAACTACTCTTTGGAGTAACAGCAGTGGTGTCCGATTTTTTTGCACATCGAAGAAAGCCAGGAAGGGTCGTGGTGGTGCTACCCCAAAATTGGCTGACACCTACCGAGATGCCCTTGGGAGGAAGAGATTTAAAGGAAATGCAAATCTTCGCAAAAGTCAGCACCTAGGCGTAATCTAAATCATAGGATGGATGTCGTTCTTGTTTGCCTTCCTATTTTCTTCATATTTCCATGCAGCTAAGGGAATACCCTGTGGGCTTTGGAGTTCGATTCGCAGAAAGCATGAAGCACCTGAAAAAGGAAAGGTCGTCGTTGAAACAACCAAAATGGGCACCTAGACTTACACGACCGGTTCAAAGTGGAGCCCCAAATACCGTTTCAACAAAATGTCTGCTTACCACGTAAAGACTAATTTACAAAAAATCGATGGATCGATACATATATATATATATATATATAGGCAGATAGATAGATAGATAGATAGATGGATAGATAGATAGATAGATAGATAGATAGATAGATAGACATTAGGTAGTAAAAATATATATATAAGGAGGCTTTGTAAAAATGGTGGTATACTCTCAAATCATCTAAAAACATGAACGGCCCATGATTCCGGGGTTCCCCGTGTCTAAAAAATTCTAAAAATATTGACACCGCATATGCCTCGTAAATTCAGAATAAAATGAATCAGGGCAGGGTTCTGTTACACATATTTTCAGATTATATCCCAAGGGGTAAGGCTACAAAAGCCTGTCACCACCCATGTTCGCCACTTCCATCAGCGAACCTGAGGCTCCGGATGCAGAAGATATTCGCTCCTGGCACGTGACTCCAATCCCGGGACTTGATGATCTATATGAAGAAGCACGGATGTATGAGGTCGTGGAATATCTCCAGGGGGGCTTCTTCCTTAACTTACCAGAAGCTTGGGAAGGCTGTAGGTTGCCAAAGGACATCCCTGAAACCGCCAATAGGCCTACGGGGGGCAACCCCTAACTAATCCACGAATCGTGGAAACAACGATTCGATCCCGTTTTGTGCAGACTCTAGGAAAATAGGCAACAGTGGCAGAAATCGGGGACAGTGGCGTAAATACAAGTCAAAGTGGCGTAAAAAACCGTCCATTTTGTACTCCTAAAATAGGCAACTTTGGGCTGTCCCCGGTATTCGGGAAATTCACTCTCGTGTGCGAGCTTAGTGCTGTTCACACGCGCCAATTCATGGGTGATCGACCTTGGCACTGGAAAGAGCCTGAAAGATTTCGAGTTTAGAGATGTTTTGGGACACAATTTACATTCCAGGCGAGCACAATGCATCTTAGGCATGTTTGCCCACATTCGGAGGTCCCATCGTGCAATGTTCCACATGCCAAAGTGTTGCAGTGAATGGTTTAAGGGTTGCGACTGGTGCCTGGACAAACATGGCGTCGGAGCCACCTACCCGACAATGGTCATGTGCGACACTATACCGGGGGTCTAGCTTCCTTGCAGAGCAAAGGGAGGCGAACAAGGAGTTGACCTTTGATGGACTTGTTGCTGTTTCAGGGTTGCAAAATGTTGAAGCCGACAAAGCTCCCATTTAGAGTCCATTTGGTGGCACTATCCTGTCCACCCCGCGCCGTGTTCCCAAGCCACGACCCAGGCTGCAAAGGAGCGCCTGCGAAAGCTGAAGGCGATGCCTGCTGATCCGCCTCAGAGGGCGAGCTCGGTCGAATCCTTCGCTACCCATAGCCCATGTCCGAAGACAAAAGCATCCCCACCCAGTTCAGCAAAGGCATTGAAGAATGTTGACCAGGATAGGGATGTAGATTTGTTTTCAACAGGGACATTGGCCCAACTTCCCGACCCCAGTCTGTTTTTACTTTGTAACCTTGAAGTATGTTTCATCTCATGCAGCCCTTTTCTTGGGTGGGGAATGGGGCAGGAGACCAGCATACCAAAGGCGACATCTTCGGGCTCGAAGCCAGACGCCTCTAAGGGACATCCTAAAGAGGCCACGTAGAATTTCAATTCATATAATATAAGCGTTGACTAGAGCACTGTCTTCGAACTGAAACCTTTTAACTGAGTGCTGTGGAATGGTTGCCCTTGGTTTTCCCCACATGCATTTGAATTTGATGCTGCTTTCCTGCACCATTCTGGTGCAGGCAGCAGAGACTGAAAGGGATACCGAACCCAAGAAGGCCAGGAATCTGGGAAAAGGATGGCTGGGCATGGAGATGGATGCTTCGCACCACCATCAGGGGCCCTTGAATTTTTGAACAGTAGCAGGGAATGTACTTAATGTCTAGCTAGAGAGAGAGAGAGAGATATGGAGAGAGACAGAAAGAGATAGAGAGAGAGAGAGAGGGGGAGAGAGAGAGGGAGATAGATATATATATATATATAGATATAATGAACAGTGTTTGGTCAAGAGTAAACAAAAGAACAAATATAGGTACACATAGAATCTATACTATGTTTGTGTATACACACACACACCTACTCAGCTAGCAGCTACACTTCAAACTTTATACCATTCGGTTCGATAAGTACCCGTATTTTTAGGTGTTTAAAAGTACACAGCTATAAACATTCAGTAAAACCATCCAACGACACCCAAACTAGCATACATAAACTACAACATAAGCCCAACATCCACCCCTGAGTAGAATTTGTTTTACCAGTAGGAGTAAGAAATGATCCTAACCCCCCGAAAAGGCTCCAAGCCAAGAATCTTAGCTTTTGTTTGGTTGTTTGGGCTAGCTTGGCCAGCCAGATGGCCTAATAGTGGCTTAAGATGGGCCCAGCATGTGTTCAAAATAGGCTAAAGTGTCTTCTTACGCACGTACCTGTTTAGATGCATACGCACAGGCATGCATACACATGCATACTTACCTACTTAGCTATGTAGCTATAATATTCGGAGCACAGTAGATTACAGTACATTACAATAGGTTTACCAAGCACATGTACAAACCCCAAATATCTCCAATTGATGCACAAAACTCGCCCCTCCTAGTTAACCTCCCGCCACCGCAGGCTGATGCAGATGACGATGCCAGGATGATGTCGTCGTTGGCTGCTGCTTTGCGCCGCATTTGTATGCCGAAACCTGCCAGCGGAAAGCTGGAGGTTTCCCAGGAGATCCACAGGCAGTTCAAAGCTGGAGGTCAACAGCGAAAATGCTTGTTGGACATGTTGGTGAAATCTAAGGGCAACAAGGACCAGTGTTGTTTATTGTCTCCATGTTTTGGTTTTAATTTTATCATTGAACACCCCATATGAAGATAGAACAATGTACCAACACGCGGTTGTCAGATCCCCTCAAAGGAAGTATTTCTGAAAACCATCGAGCACCAGCAGAAAAAGTCCCGGAAGAACAACTTGCATGTGGAAAAGGGGTTCTACACCAAAGCAAACATGAAGAAGGACTTAGGATGGGATGCGTCCCCTTCTTAGATCAGCCCTTCACCAATTGACCAATAGCAGTATGAGCTTGAAATCTGAATTCCTTCCCATCCCGGGTCCCTGCAAACAACTGAGGGATAGGATTAAAGCTGCAGTGAAATACTGCGCTGACCCACGCAGAGCCAAGACTCACGTCAGGCTTGGGGGCCCAATTTCTCTTTGAGAATTTCAAAAATCATGGTGTCCACATGGGTTTTGATCTTTCTACTCCCCCATCTTCGGTTAGCCCCCATGCAGGCGGGACAAATACCAGAGCCACATCAAGGAGTATTGGGTGGATGTGCAAACAACCGGCAGTTTCGATGATGAGAATGAAGAAACCTTTGTAGATAAGACCACGGGGGAGGGACAAGCTGCGTCCTTCGACTTGGGGCTCCCAGCCACTGACCCATGCGCAGCAGCACGAGGTGAAGATGAGCCTGAGCCAGTGGACACCGACCATGAGGTCGACGATGACATGGACGACGGCACCAGCAGCAGAATGAGCAGAACACGGGTTCCCCCCAGAAGTGAAGTTCAAAAAGAACACGCCCTAGAGGCTGGGTCCACAAAAAAGGTGAAATTGTAAACATATTCTTTAGGATCTTTGGTTTGCCGCATGCTTCAACTGTCCATGCCTTTGGGAGGCCATTGAGAATGTTGGGACTGTGATGTCACAACTCTTGAAAGTTCAGTCTCGCATGGAGATTGCCCGGGACAAGCTTTCAAATATCGATGGCAACGAAGCCCAAGAGTTTTTGATCTGCAGCATTAACATGCCATGACGAAACATGCGCATTCGAATTTTGAATTGGTAGACCCAACTGTTCTTCGTAAGGAGCATGGCCAAAGTTGAGAAGTTTCGCACCAGCTTGATGAAATTGCATGACGAGTTGGCGGACCTCAAGTCCTTTTTTGATGGGCATATGAGTGACGATGCTTTTGATGATGGGAGTCTTGGTGGGCCAATCCTTCAAGCATGAAAAAATCCTTTGAGTCCACATTGCCTACTCCTCATTCTTCACCTCATCATGTGCTTAAGGAAAACGAAGGCGCTTCACGAAACTATCCGGAAAATCGAAGTCGAGCTGGGATCCTAGAGTCTTACAACCCCACGTGCATGCAATGTGGGGGGTACCTAAAACTTTGTCCTGTTAACCTGCCACCATTTGCCTTGAGGTCATCCCGTGCCTTGATGGAGGATACAAAGCTGAGAAAGCTTGGGCCTGAAAAACAAAACTATGATAGTTTCATATTTGGCCATATGTCACTGAAATCATAGATCCTTTTCCCAAGACTTAGGACAATTCTGAAGGCTCCGCGAGCTGCCTCTGCCACCCCGAAGGCAAAGGCTAAGTCAAAAGCTGCTCCCAAAAAGAGGTCCAAGAAGGCTGCCCCCGTGGAGGATGAGGAAGAAGCCCCCCCAACTACCAGGGGAAGGGGAAAGCGCCTTCGAAAGTCTTCTTGAGGCGGAGGCGGTCTGCATACACAGAGAGAGCTAGAGAGAGAGAGAGAGAGAGAGAGAGATATAGAGAGAGATAGAGAGAGAGAGACAGAGAGAGAGAGAGAGAGAGAGAGATAGAAGGATAGATAGAAATCTATCTCTCTCTCTCTCTCTGTCTGTCTGTCTGTCTATCTATCTAGCTAGCTAGCTACCTACCTACCGAATCTGTCTATCTGTCTATCTGTCTGTCTGTCTATCAATGTCTATCTACCTATCTGTCTACCTATCTATCTACCTATCTTTCTATCTATCTATCTGTCTGTCTGTCTATCATTATCTGTCTACCTATCTGTCTACCTATCTATCTACCTATCTTTCTATCTATCTATCTATCTGTCTGTCTATCTATCTATCTATCTATCTGTCTATCTATCTACCTACCTATCTATCTATCGATCGATCGATCTATCTATCTATCTATCTATCTATCTATCTATCTATCTATCTATCTATCTATCTATCTATCTATCTTTGTACCTATCTATCGATCGATCTATCCATCGATCTATCTATAGATCTATCTATCGATCTATGTCTAAATTTGTTGTCGTTTAAACTGTCCCGGGTGTTGGCCTGGGTTTATCTTCGGGTGCCACCAGAGTTCAGCCATGTGCCCATCCAGCGGCTTCTGCAGGCCTCTGCAGGGGGATGACGATGATCGGTTGAGCGCCAGCGCCTGGTTGCGACTGAATGGGCTTTTTGTGCATGGGAGACACATCATCTCCTGTCAATCCTTGCCACCTTTAGTGTGGTCTTTTGGGTGTGGACGCATGGCCCCGAAGAGAAGTTTTAAAACACAAGACAACTTGAATGTCCCATTCTTTCCATTACCACTTGGTTTTTGTTTTGGGGGCATTGCGTGAGGCCTTCACGTGCTGGATTTCCAGCAAGCACGGTTTGCGAAATCAATTTCGATCGACAATTCTACCTCAGAGAGGGTATCAAATTTGATTTGGGGAACAGATCTTTGCAGAAAAGAACCTTTAAAAAGTGAAAGAGGCATGTTGGCGCTGCCCTGGCAACATTTCCAACAAACAAAAGAGCCAAAAAGGAACCCCCCGGGTTCCTTTTTGGATGTTTCATATGTTTTCTATGAAAAAAACATATGTTTTTGGGGTATCATTGTGGTTGGCACCACTTTGCCCACGCAGGTCCACGGCCTCCACCAGAAGCGCCAGCACCAGCAAAGTTCAAGAGCGGTCCTGCTGCCAAAGCGCTTGCCAAAGCAGTGGCCAGTGGAGCTACTTGGCTTTGGTCTTGGTTTTGGGGGCCCCTGTTTGAATGGAAATTGGCATCTACAAGCTGACCTCCAATGCTGCGCCATCAGGTATCAGAAGCTGAAGCTTGCGCCCTTGCCCGGGCATTTTGGGAAGAGTTTTCACACCTTGTGCCTCCTAAAGCTGCCCCTCCAAGTTCGCAGTTCTTACGGATGGCAACCCGGTTATCCAAGACTCGTCATGAATGCAGGTTTGTTCACAATTTTGCTGACTATGGCCTAGCGGCCGACATTCCGCTAAGTTTCTACGATGTGGGACTGAAAGGAAAACACCCTGCATTGGCATTGTCTGACATCGTCAAGTGCTTTGACCAAAAGAACAAACTGGAGGTTCTTACACAAGGGCATGGCGAACGTGAATTCAAACAATTCTGGGAAACATGGCGGCTGGTACAGCCGAAGCACCCGATTTTTGAGACTCATCGAGGTCGAGAGGAGCAGTGCATACCAGTCTGCGTACATTGCGATGAAGGAACGACTTTGAAAAAAAGAAGTATCATGATCATACAGGTGGAGCCATTGATGGGAAAAGGCACACGCAAACGTAAAAGCACGCAGGATGAGCCAGGCTGCAACTTGCTGGGTTCCTCTGTCACAAACCGTGTTTTGTGGAGTGTGATGCTATCACGTGTATACTCTGGCAAAAAACTTGGTAACAAGCCCTTGCTGAAGCTGATCGATCATCTAGCTACGCAGCTGTCTGGCGCATTTTACAATGGTTTTGATCTTGCCCGCGAATCGAAGAAGATCTACATGGTTCCGATCGCCATGAAGGGCGACTGGCCCGCTTTGGCGAAGGTGGGCACATTATTGCGGCATTTTGGGTGGCAAGTGAAATCTGGAAACGGTGGTGGCCATGGTATTTGTCACCTGTGCCAAGCAGACCGGCCATCCTTCGAGAATTGGCATGATGTGAGCTGGGCAAACATGTGCAAAATGCACAATGGTTGTCTACTACCATGGGTGCGTGAGCCCGGACTCTTGGCGGCGGTCCCGATCCCCGATGAATACAAGGCAGAATTCTTTCGCTTCGACATTTTCCATGCATTGCACAAAGGATTGATGGCAGACATGGCGGCCAATGCGATTGTGTTTTGGCTTTTTTTTGGGCAGCTTTAGTGTGGGTCCCCTATAGCTCTTAAGGTCAGGAACAACTTTTTGTAATGCTGCCTGTAGAATATCAGGTCTGCTGCTTCGACGGCGAAGTCTTTGGGGCAGGTTCTTTTGAGCGTCTTTGTGACGTTTGCTTTGCTGAGCTCAAGGAATTCTGCAGAAGCCACTCCATGACACTCCACATGAGCGGCCTAACCCGCACTCTGTTGGGTTTCATGCGCTCTAGCGACTATCCTACAGGGAAACTCTGCTATATCTTAACGCGTTTTTCTTTTTCTAAATTGATGTCCTTATCACAGTGCTCTACACCTCCTTCGGCCCAAAAGAACGGAAGCTTTTGCCCACAAAAGTGTAATTATCTACCTGCTTCAGGGATACTGCTGCTGACGTGTAGTTCAACCTTCGCACAGCATATCGCTTCGAAAAAATATTTTTTCTGTTCAACCCATTGCTTTTGCGGTTGGGAGTTGGCATCAGCCTAGGAATTGGTTCAAAGGAGCCGATACTGTGTGCATTTTGGCCTTTCTGGAGTCGCGGATTGCAGAGTCGCTGGCTGATTTGGACGATTCTGCCAAATCCCTTTTTTCGGAAATTTATGAGATGATAGCTGCAGCAAATAGCTTCATGCGTTGCATTTACCACTCAGCGCTCTGGCTGACTTCGGATGAACGAGACCATCTCCTGATTTCTGGCCACAAGTGCGTAAACTATTTCCACAAGTGTGCCCAAAGGGCCTTTGATGCGCACGTGACACGATGGAAATACATGCCCAAGATTCACCTTTTTGGTGAGATCCTGTTTTTCTTAGAGCGCGACAAGCGAAGGAATATTCCCAGTTTAAACCCCCTTTCGTTTTGCACGCAGCAAGACGAAGATTTTGTTGGCAGGATTGCAGTCCTATCGCGTGCTGTATCGGTTAGAACGGTGCACTCGCGTACGATAGGTCGCTACTTAGTGTCTTTGGCATCCAGTTGGTGACACTTTTCCCATCAAGGCTACGGTTATATGATCAAATTCTTGACAACACGTTTCAAGGAAACTATTTTCAGTGTTCACCCACGGTGCCGCATCTGTCCTCGGACGACCATAGCAGCTTCAGTCGAAGCATGTTGGTGGCTGCTGTGAAGGCAAATGTTTTCAACTTTACATGTTCAAGAAACATTCTGGGTGATATGAGGTCCCATTTTGCTAAAATGATTTTGATTTGTTGATTACAGCCTCCAAACCAAGTTGCATCAAACCCAAAGCATTGCTTGAGACGGACCAAGGCAAGGCTGGAAATGGCAGGGGGGGAAGTGGCAGGAATGTGGAAACAAAACCGGCTACTTTGCATGGTTGCCTATTTTTATAGGCAACCAGGTTTTCCAGGTATAACGCAATTAAAATATTGCCAAAAATGGCAGTTCGAAGCTTACCCCTAATACTAAATTAAAACCCTTAATACTAAAAACTATTTTTTCCGATCTCAAAATCAATTAAATTTCCTTATATAACGCAATTAAAATATTGCCAAAAATGGCAGTTAGAAGCTTACCCCTAATTGCTAGAGTAGCTAGGCAGCTTGGAGTGAGGGATTGGGACTAGGCCCCCCTAATACTAAACACCCCGGGGTGAACTAGTTTTTAATATTAGGGGGGAGAACCCACAAATGGTAGGTTGATTTTTGAATTGTTTTTTAAAGGGGATCAATTAAAAGTCAAATTGGCCAAAATGAAATTTTCGGAAATTGGAGATGGATGCCTGTTTTTAGTATTAGGGGGGCGTTTAGTATTAGGAGGAAGGGATTAACTCCATTATTAATGGATTATACTACCTGGATCCAATAATCCATTATACTACTGGTTGGTGGTTGAGCCCTACCCCTCTGAAAAATGATGGAGTGAGTAACAGTTGGGATGATGAAATTCCCAACTGAATGGAAAAATAAAAATCATGTTCCAAACCACCAGTTAATGATGAAGATGAAAGCATCTTAGATAGCCTATAGTCTACGGTCATTGGTACTGTGTTGCTGGCCGGCTGAACTAAAAAGAAACCATCAAAACCAAAATCGATCAACATCAATCCAGGCTTCATCCTATATTCTGGCCAAATTATATACAACAATTCACCAACCTGAAAATAGCTGTTGCTCTTCCCTTGATCTGGATGCACCTTCCCGGCCAAAAAGGGCTGTCTGAATCTTGCGGCTATGTGCGGATGGTTCCTCTTGCAAACCATGATTCCAGTGATGTCATATTGAGGGTATTGTAATTCAATGTAATTCATCATATATCAAAATATCATATATTTGAAGAATCAACACCAATCAGTCCCAGCTGCTGAAAGCTGTGAAAAGAAAGGAACACGTTTTTTTTTACTCATTGTGGAGAATATGCTCCAGGCTCCAGGCACAAAAGCAGTGAAAATGCCGTGAGAATGGAGGGATGTTGAGAAGTCCTTTGGGATTCTCCCAGGCCTTTTCGGAAAAGTCATATTAGTCATACTGGCCACTTCGATATTTCTTGATCTTTTGTACCAGAATTTTGCATGGAAAACGGCTTGTTGGGTACCGCTTGACCCCAAACATTTGGGCTGGTTTTTGGAGGTTGAAAGCATATTCCTAATCCCAAGTGCCCAAGCAATGGGGAAAATCGATCAGTTTTGGCAAATCCAAGGTTGCCCTCTGGTAAACTAACATAGCTATGGAAAATCACCATTTTTAATAGAAAAATCAACTATAAATGGCCATTTACAATAGCTATGTTAAATTACCAGAGGGTATTCTTGGCATAAAACCATCAATGCACCAATTCTGATGGCTTACAGGTTGGTCGATTGGGCGACAGCTCAGGTTCACTTCCCTGCCTCCGCAGACGTACGAAGAGCTCAGTGGTCCTTTCCCAGTGCACGCAGGCATCAACCTCAGCGGGCGGTTGTCTTCTCATCCGGTTGGTTCCCAGCTCAGCTGCCAAAAGTTTAGCATCTAGTAATCTAGTGTTTCTGCATAAATCACCAATATCCTCAAAAAAATAAAAGTCTATATAACTGAATGGCTGGTAATTGCCATGCTATGTATGTGGACCCAGAATAAGATGAGGGACCAACTGTTTGGTCATGTTTTTGAGTAGCTTGAGTTTCTAGTGCCACACAACGGCATGGCCATTCTTGAAGTTCCATTTGTTGGAAAATTGAAGGGTGCAACGGTGCAAACCTCAAACATGTGACAAATTGACACAACTCATAATTTGGGAGAAAATTGACCCTTTTAGCACCTGGTGAGTTTTCTGTGTGCAGTCAGCCTCTGAATGTCAACAACAATTTTTCTGCACATTTCTGCACTCAGAAGATCAAATCTATGTTTATCCACTTCGAAAACCCTGCGCAAAGGCAAAATGATTTTAAATGGCCAGTTTCATGGGAACCATCATATCAAACCAACAGATTTTGGGATATCCCCTCTTAAGACAAACCCATGTCTTCTCAACCAAGTGATTCAACTATAGAAGGTGATGTTCGGTTTTTTCGTTTCAAGAGCAACTGGTGGTTGATGGTTTTCCCTGCTATAAATCATTTCCGGACAATCATGGATTAAATTGGGGATATAGATTGGATGCCACAAAGATGAATAACTATCGGTTATAATTAGCATTGACACACCAATGCTTCTCCACACTTTCATCTTTTCAGCCCTTTTCTTCAGTGATGGGCCCGCACCACTGATCATGCACGGGACCCCGATTCTACTTAAATCCCACTGAACCCAAGTCGTGGGTAGAAACAAACCAAATGTTGGACAAGTGTGGGGTAATATGTTTGGACAAATCTCTATCCTTCACAAACCAAAAATAAACCCACGAAAAGGGATGGTTTCCCAGGTCCCATCATTTCTGGTGAGGTCGTTGCAACCTATTTGGTGCTAAGTGATGTCAGATCCACAACAAGAAACCATCCAGTACTCCTGTACTCTCCAGTAATTGAACTTATAAATGGAGGTTTTGTGGTGGGAACATCATCTATAAATGGAGGTATTTTCCAACCATGTTTGATTCTCGGAATCAGCATATCCAGTAATCCTAGTAAACCAAACAATTATCCCACATCCCCGCCAATACTACAAGTAGACGCGCAAGGCGGGTGGCGGAAGTTTCCAGGTTTAAGAAATGTAACGCTGTAGGATCCAAAAACAAGGTTTGCCTATAGGAGCTGCAGCGGGCCCTCACAGCTTCTCAGCTACTACAATACGATTTACGATTCTCAGCTGCTAAACACAATAATAGTATTCCGCACGCAGCCGCAGCAGCGAGGAACCTTGCTGCAGCCATTCCACTGCGATCTGCAAAGACTGACACGCAAAACACAATAGCACAGCGTTAAGAAAGAAGAGAAAAAGACACCAAGAAACTTCAGTTACTCTGCTGCCACAGCACCGTTCGCAACGTTCATGCAGCGACTACAATGCGATTTACGATTCTCAGCTGCTATACGCAATGGTATTCCGCACGCAGCCGCATCAGCGAGAAACCTTGCTGCAGCCGTTCCATTGCGATCTGCACAAATGAATGGCACAACACAAGTAGGAATTGCAACGCACTACTGTAGAACACATCGCTTTGATGCACCAGTTCCAATGCACAAAGTGTGTCAACACATGCAAAACACAATAGCACAGCATCAACAAAGAAGGAAAAAGTCACCTGGAACCCTCACAGTTACATTGCACGCGCATTTCGATCAAGATTCCACGGCAAATCGGCGATGCCTAAGACCGTCGCGTGCGCGAGCCTACTTTTCTCCGCAACAGAGCCTTCGTCTACCTGAAAAAAACACAATGTTTCGGTAATGTTTCGTGCAAATCCTAACGTTCAAATCGCATCCATGATGTAGCAGTTCCAATGCGATCTGCCAAGAGTGACTTGCAAAACACAGTACAATCGCAAGACACTACTGGAGACCAAGTACTTTTTGAGACACCTTGACGCAACCATTCCATTGCGATCTGCAGACACGGACTTGAAAAAGACAATAGAATTGCAACACACTACTGTAAAACACATCGCTGTGATGCACCAGTTCCAATGCGCAAACTACGCTAGTCTGCTCTACTCTACTCTTCTCTTCTCTACTACTCTGCTCTACTTCTACCTCTGCTCTTCTCTTCTCTAGTCTTCTATACTCTACCCCTAGTCTTCTGGACACAATGATCTCTGGGCTAGTGAGAATGTGACTTCATGATCTCTTAAGGCACGTGCCAACTGGACACAATGATCTCTGCCTTAATGAGAATGTGACTTCATGATCTCTTAAGGCACATGCCGACTGGACACAATGATCTCTTGGCTAATGAGAATGTGATTTCATGATCTCTTAAGGCACGTGCCAACTGGACACAAGGATCTCTTGGCTAATGAGAAGGTGACTTCATGATCTCTTACGGCACGTGCCAACTGGACACAAGGATCTCTTGGCTAATGAGAATGTGACTTCATGATCTCTTAAGGCACATGCCGACTGGACACAATGATCTCTTGGCTAATGAGAATGTGATTTCATGATCTCTTAAGGCACGTGCCAACTGGACACAAGGATCTCTTGGCTAATGAGAATGTGACTTCATGATCTCTTACGGCACGTGCCAACTGGACACAAGGATCTCTTGGCTAATGAGAATGTGACTTCATGATCTCTTAAGGCACATGCCGACTGGACACAATGATCTCTTGGCTAATGAGAATGTGATTTCATGATCTCTTAAGGCACGTGCCAACTGGACACAAGGATCTCTTGGCTAATGAGAATGTGACTTCATGATCTCTTAAGGCACATGCCGACTGGACACAATGATCTCTTGGCTAATGAGAATGTGACTTCATGATCTCTTAAGGCACATGCCGACTGGACACAATGATCTCTTGGCTAATGAGAATGTGATTTCATGATCTCTTAAGGCACGTGCCAACTGGACACAAGGATCTCTGGCCTAATGAAAATGTTCACTT